GGACAGGCAAAGCGGACAACGCAAATGCACTGCTTGAAGTTCTGCTCATTACAAGAAGGCCCCCACCCACATGCGTGGGAACCCAGGGGCAGGGGTAGTGTGCCGCTGTTAAGTTCAAATGGTGCCACTTGTACACCAGGTCCTCAGTCAGCTGATGATCAGGAGCCCTCCACAAGGCCACGGGCCTGCAATGAGGGAGAGGAGACAACGCAGCAGGAGCGGGGACCAGAGTCTGGGCCAACTGCTCGTGCACTGTGCCTGTGCCTTTCAGGTGTGCTCAAGCCTGAAGGGGTGTGTGTGTGTCCGTGTGTGTATATGTCTATATGTATGTGTGTATTGTCTAAATGTGTGTGTATATGTGTGTATGTACATGAGTATATATACACACACATGTTAATTTAATGATAGACTACTAGTGCATGCACCCAACCTCATTGATTGGTGAATCAGATAAAATGCACTTCATGAGGAGAAACTTGGGTCACTTGGTCAATCATTCGGCATTCGGTCTCCACCTGGTCCCAGTAGCAAGCTAGGCAATGCTTCTCACAAGAAGAATAGTTACTGCAGGAAAGAACAAGAGTTTATTCCAAAACTTTAGCGGTCTGAGCCGTGATTTTCCCACCAATACTTGCAAGAGGCTCCGTACAGCATCCCTGTCGCCGCAGACACATCGAGCACCATCGGATCTGTAGGGCCGGGCCCAAGTAGATGCTCAGCTTGCACCACAGCCCGTCCAGACAGCCGCAGAGCTCTTTCTCACTCTGGCTCCTCTGAAAACTGCCTTACAGATTCAGGAGGAGGCTGCTTCTGCGGAAGGAGGGTGGCCATCAGAACAGGAGCCTGAAGGGGTGCTGAGGAGGGCAGCATCCCACGGCATGGGAGTTGGCACTTGGAGGTCTGCAGAGGAGCCCCCTGGCCTCCTACCAGAGAGTCTAACAGGAAGCCAGCTGGCAACGTAGTCTGGGAAATGTGGCTCTCAGACCCCCAGCTGTATGTGGCTATTTAAATTAAGTTAACTACAGTTAAATGAAATTACAAATTCAGTTCCTCAATTGCACTAGCCACAGGCAAGTACTCAATAAGCTCATGTGGCTGCACACTGGACAGCACGCTTCACTATTGCAGAAGTTCCAGGGGACAGTGCTGGGGGCAGGCCTCAGCAATGCACAATAAGGTGCAAGTGGCACATCCAGGACCAGGCATGAGCAAGCTGCAAGCTCCCCTTTTTCCGTGGCACTCTTGTTCCCCTGATGTTTCCTGGGGGTAAGGGAGAGGGCAGGCTCCCCAAACCTCGCTTCTCAGCCTTGAGGAGCCTCTCAGCCAAGCGAGCATGTGTGTTCCTGGGACCCAAGGCAGCAGCAGCCACGTCCTTGGCCCTACTCCACCCTGCAGGAGTGCCTGGACCACTCCCTCCCTCGGTCTCCCTGGTCCGGGTATCAGAACATCCTGGTGCCTCCCGGGGCTGTCTGTCCTCACAGGCTACAGCTCTGATAGCCCCTGAGACACACTGTTCTCCCTGCGCCCTGGTAACTAGCAGAGAGGACGCCGCGCTCACCGCCTGTCTCGGCCTTCCCCGACTACTCCACCCCTACAGTCACCTCTTTCACGTCTGGTCTTTATCACTGTAAGAGAGACATTCTGAAGCCAGGGATTCACTTACTAGAACAGGCACAGAGACCCTCTTGTTGCACTGCATTCCACTCTCAGAAGGGGCGTCGCTGTTCTCAATGTCTGACCACTTCAAATACTCATGTTTTCCTCCTGAATCCCAAACGTTCTGAGTAACAGTGCACAGTATAGCTTCATCTAGTGAACAGTGAAATTGGATTGGAATGTATCTTAAAAGTGCAAAAATAGACACTCAAAAATAGAAAGAGAGTTGGAATTCTTGCCTGGACTCCCCACTGTATTCTGAACCTCATAACCCACCCATGAGGCCCAGGAGTTCCCACTGACACAGGAACAGGTGAAGAAACTGAGGCTCAGAGAGACGAGAGCTGCCCAAGGGCACTCAGTGCAGTGGTGCTGGATCTGCACGTCCTCACATGCATGTCTTCACTAGTCACATGTCACTCACACCTGAGCCCCTGACGACAGCTGCCATCCATCAGGGTCCTTCCCCAAGAACACTCGGCAGCATGCTTTTCCCACAAAGACCCCAAGTCCCCCTGAACCACATGGAAGCCTCGGGGATGGGGTGGCAGTAGGACAGTGGTGCTGGCCAGGGTCAGGGACCTGGACGCTGTGATTACCAAACCCCGAAAGTTTGTGAGGCTCAGATCGTAAGTGAAAAAACTTTCAAACCAAACAGGGGATGAAACTGAGCATGAAGGAGTTAAAATTTCCCTTAGGATTAGGGTGAAACTGTGCCTTGGACCCACAAAGTTAACATGGGAAACAAAATAACCAGTTTCTGAGCTCGCCTTGCAGAACAACAGGAGGACCACTGATCAGAGAGGAACTTGCTGACAGCCCCCTGCCTGACTAAGCATCTTGCAGGAACATTGAGAAGCTAAAATGGCTGATTGTAAACTCTAGATATCAAAGACTAAAAAGCCACCATGTGCAACATAGAGTAGTCAGTCACGCCTGTGCAGTGGACTCTTAGAACTTCGCCTCCTAAGGCCACTCTTAGATCTTCAGCCCCTCCTAAAACCCCAAATAAAACTCTTGCTTGTAGCTTTTCAGGGAGTTCAGGATTACAGTCTTAGCTGCCCGTTCTCTTTGCTCAGCGCTTTGCAATAAAATTCCTACTTTCTTCCACTACACCGGGTGTCAGAGATTGGCTTGCTACACAACAGGTGAGAAAACTCACTTCAGGTTTGCTATCAAATTTGGCAACCCAGATGGGATATCGTCCCAAGTGGACATCTCTCCTGTGGCACACCAGCCTCTGGCAGAGAGCCTCTCTTGGAAGCTGTCCTGCAGCTGTCCGAGCTGCTGACCGGAAGTCATTGGCCACTGCACTTTTACTTTTGGCTGTGGAAGAAACTAGGTTCAGGATTTGGGAAGACGTCTCTTTAAGTAGCTGGTAGTTTTTGGTTTTGTCTTTGTGCTAACCCTCTCCAATAGGACTGGCTAGAAATAATGGTAATCAGAGCTCTATTACACCTGGCAGCCCTCTGGGCTCTATCTGTTGTGGTTTGCAGTGGATGTCCTTTTGTTGAGTTTCCTTGTTAACTCACTGAAATCTTATTTTTCCTTTCATTTGTTTTCCTCTGTTCTGGGAATTTTGTTCCAGGTCACTAGAGTTTGCTTCAGTATCTGGGTGATTTCTACATAAGATAAAACATTAGAAATTGATTACTAAGCATAGATTTGTCTGCCTTTGGTTTCTTATCTCAGAGAAACTGAAAGATGCTTAGGTTTATTGATAAATATGTTTTGTGTATGCTGGGGAATTTTCTATGAGAAAGTACATATTTCTATATACAAGGAAAGTAAAATGTATGTTTTCAGTAAAGAAGGTAGAAATAATAGAGATATCTTTGTTAGTTTTGTTAAGAAAGAAAAATCTGTCCTAAAGTACTAGGAAAGAAAAAAAGAAAAAAATAGGACAAATTCTGAATGTAAAAAGTGACGGATTTGTGGAAGCAAAACCCTGAGGAGTTTTGTGCATGGTCAAGTTGGCTGAGATTTAAATGAATTCAATTAAATGAATGAATTCCAATATACAGGGTAAGCTGGCACAAAATTAGAATTTGGCTTTCTCTCGCCTGAAAGGACGATCTTTTTGAACTTTTGGTCTTCTCTTGATAAAGAGACTACAGGTTTTTCTTTTCATTTTGAGTAAGTCTACCTAGGGGACAGAAAGTCTATGCTTTGTTAAAATAATTGCCTGTGTTCAAAAAGACTAAGATCTCTCTATTAAGGTGGGGGGGGGGGTTTAACTGTTTAAACTCTCCCTGTTTGCCTTTGACGTCTTCTGTTGTCACCTTGATTGAATGGATAACTAAGCATTGTTTCCTATTTGACCAAGTGTTTTAAGCCCTTTTGATTTTTTTTTTTTTTTGAGGAAGATTAGCCCTGAGCTAACATCCACTGCCAATCCTCCTCTTTTTGCTGAGGAAGCCTGGCCCTGAGCTAACATCCATGCCCATCTTCCTCTACCTTATACGTTGGACACCTGCCACAGCATGGCCTGACAAGCAGTGCATAGGTCCACACCTGGGATCTGAACTGGAGAACCCTGGGCCACCAAATCAGAACATGCAAACTTAACCCCTGCACCACAGGCTGCCCCCACTTTTGATATTTTTTACAAACTCTCCCAAGGTTCAAATCCTGGGTAAAGTCTTTCTTTTGACTTAAAAAGGAACTTTAACAATTTCCAATGGGCCCTGGGACTTCTCAAAGAATTTATTCTCTCTTTCTATAAAGAGAGATATTAAACTAAGTAGACTTATTTGACATGTTAAATTACATGGGAAGCATTGTTAAATAAATGATAAATCTTCTTAGGTTATATTGTGTGGGTAAATGTTATTAATATAAGTGCTTTAAAAAATTATATAATATTCCAAAAATTCTGATCTGTTTTGATTATCATAATTCTGGTTATTATCTCAAAGTGCTGGATGTCACAGAATTGGTCAAATGTCTTTGTCAATTGCCATTTTTGAATGTTTTGTTATTTGCAGACAGTTGTTTCATTCTGATGTTTTTGCAGATGTGTTTCATCTTTAAAGAGACTCATGGAAAGGACTCCGACACTTACTCTAGAATGCAGGTTTCTGATAAACTTTCAGATTATAAAACTGAGCTGGATAAGAAATTACAGAACTCTAACAGAGAAACTGATGGCCTCATAAAACTGCTAACAGAAGATCAAGATCAAGAATTAATTATATAAGACTGAATAAATTAATGAGGATGTTTATAATTTTTGTGACTTTGAAATATTGCTGATTTTTAATGTTTTTTTTCAGATTTAAGAAATTTTTTTTCTCTTTTCTCTTAAGGAACTATGACTTATAGCAATTTGTAAGCAGAATTGAAGCATTTACCTTTTTCTCCCTATCTGATCCCTCCAGAATTTGAAAACTCTTGATGAGTGAGTATTCTTATTTTCATGGCAATATAGTTATTTGCATAAGTTTAATAAGAATGTGTTCTCCTTATATCAGGACACAATTGGAAACACTGGTTATATTACCCAGGCTTTGACTGAATGTCATATTTGAGAGAAACATGCGTAAACTCATGCATAAACTTAAGGGACAAGGATTGTCTTTATAGAACAAATAAAGCCACTTGGAAATATTGTCCTGGTACCTTGCTGACAGGGTTCCCAGCAACCTTACCAGGTGAGTAGAAAAGGTCACATCCCTGGCAGGTGCAAGAACCTCGGAATATTTCAGAGACCTCAAAAAGAGAGAAATTCACCCAAATCTGTAGGTATTGCAGGCAGAGTCTGATGACAAGTCCTTGGCTTGGCTTTCCTGTCCTTGAGAGTCCTTTAAGGTTCAACCTGAGATTCCCTGTGAAAAGTTCCAGCAAAGCAGATTTAAAGGAGCCTAGATGATCAATTGCTGCACTTATGTAAATGATTAGGCCAAGTTTATTGAAAATAGATTTATTTTGTGAACCAATGAGTCTTAATTTGGCTATCTTTGGTGAAAATGAGGGTGATTTTAGAGAGAAACATTATGTTTCAATAGAAACTATAATACACATTTGGAGACATTGGATTCTGGTTCTGTTAATTGTGTTTGAGATTTTTGCTTTCTATTTGCAAACTGAAGCTGGAAAACTTGATGTAAACTTAAGAGAGAACACCATGACAGCCCATGTTTAGAAAATCTTCATGCCTGTTGCTGTATAAGCCAAGCAAAAAGTTCCCCTGGGTACCCACAGACATCATCAGAGACATTTCAAACTGCAAGGGATACTTCAATCCTTACATCTAGAAATCTTCTTGACTGGCCATCCCATGGGCTCGGGAATTGGTTTGTAATTTGCTCCAACCATTAACCTTGTTTTCTTTCTGTTTCTCTGGAAATGCTTTTTGTTAAATATATGGTTACTTGCTTACACAATATAAGCCTAACTTTGGGAGACCCTTCCTATGTTCTACAGATGATCCAAAAGACCCAGAGAGAATTCGAATTAAAGAACCAGACACTCTCAGATGTTCCTCTGCATCATCTCTATAGTGGAGACTGAATCCTATTAAAATACTGGAAACACAAGCACCCAGAAGATCAATTTCATCTCTGCTGAATGGGACCATACAAGCAATGCCACAGGAAACAGGAATCATGCCATAGAAGAACATCACAACAGGATCACCCAAACCTTGGCTGGCTTCATACTCTAGACACTGACTTCTCCAAATGGACAAGTGAACCTCTAATAGATCTCAAGTTGCTGTACAGAAGACGGTCCCCTAAAAGTAAGTAATGAATGATCCCCACATTCTTACCTTACTTGTTGGGCTATTAGACAGCCAGCTATTTGTCTACATTGGATTTCACCTGAGATTCCAGACCCTAACCTTGGTTGGTTTACAGGCTTCTTCTCCTCAGTTCCCCAAGGATTAATATCCATTATGGAGGGGATACTAAAATTTGGGCTGTGATTTTGCTAAAACGTGTGGTTGTCTATGTAATTATAAAATGTGGACTTAAGTGTTCTTCCAAAACCATTGATCAGAATACTAAAATATTAGTCACGCAGAACATACCTTGCTCTCCTCTGCCTGGTACCCAAGAATATTTTTTTTATAAAGATTTTATTTTTTTCCTTTTTCTCCCCAAAGCCCCCCCAGTACATAGTTGTATATTCTTAGTTGTGGGTCCTTCTAGTTTGGCATGTGGGACGCTGTCTCATATGATTTATATGAGCAGTGCCACGTCCGCACACAGGATTTGAACCAACGAAACACTGGGGCGCCTGCAGCAGAGCACGCGAACTTAACCACTTGGCCACGGGGCCAGCCCCCCAAGAATATTTTTAAAGTAAAGGTAGAACAATTTCATTCCTCTGACCTGGAACTTCACCCTTTCACAGCAGGAAGCAGCTGGAGCGGTCTTCATCCCCATTCCCCAAGATTGACGAATGATCAAAAGAGAAGGGGGATTGAAACTGAAGATGAAGGAGTTAAAATTTCCCTGGATTAGGGTGAAACTGTGCCTTGTACCCACAAGGTTAACGTGGGAAACAAAATAACCAAAGTTTCTGAGCTTGCCTTGCAGAACAGCAGGAGGACCACTGATAAGAGAGGAACTTGCTGACAGCCCCCTGCCTGACTAAGCATCTTGGAGGAACATTGAGAAGCTAAAATGACTGATTGCAAACTTTAGATGTCAAAGACTAAAGACTAAAAAGCCACCACTTGAAACATGTAGAACAGACAGTCACACCTGTGCAGAGGACACTTAGAACTTCAGCCCAGAAGGCCACATGCCCCCCTCCCCTACCTAAAACCCCGAACAAAAACCCTTGCTTGTAGCTTTTTGGAAGTTCAAAATTACAGTGTTAGCTGCCCATTCCCCTTACTCAGTGCTTTGCAATAAAATTCCTACTTTCTTCCACTACACCCAGTGTCAGAGATTGGCTTGCTGCACAACGAGTGAGTGAAGTCACTTCAGGTTCAATATCAAGGATATAAGCCCTCTGGCTGCAAAGGATTCACACAACAAAACCCCAAGTCAAAATCCCCCCAAGAAAAAGGAGCCGTCATTCTGCCCAAAGGGGATCATGGCCAGTCAAACAACATCAGTCATCTCCCCTCAAAGTGCCATCCCCAGGGCTCTTCCTCACCTATGCCAATGTCATGTCACATTGAGGGTGCCATTAGGTCATTCTCTCAGTTAGTTAGGACTGAGGGGAAATGGGGCTTCAGTTTGTGCTCCCAACCAGGTACACACCCTGTCCCAGTGCCACACACCACGGAGGGCAAGAGGATGAGGGCTGGGGATGCCCACAGAGGTCACCAGAACCTTGGCAGGATTCAGAGTTGGCCCAGGCCCGCCCTCCCCCTGCTGAGCTTGGAGGGGAGAGCTCCGTGTTCTCTGCTCCTCTCTCAGGGCATCTTCATGCCCACTCTGTGCACTTAGCAAGACCGACTTCTTCTTGGAATCCACTAGCTCCTCCACACTTAGCCCTTGGGGCCCTCCTCCTCCGGGTCTGCTCCTCTGGCCTCTGCACCTTCTGTCTCCATCCAGCTCTGCCCCCGACTTCACCCACCAAGATCCAGCTCTTCCTCCACTCCTCCATGTCTGGCTCAGGGCCCTCCCTGGGTCCAGGCCCTCTGCTCTCACGTCTTGTGGCCCCAACTCCTCACCCCCCAGCTTGGGAACTGGAACATTGAGTCCCTGGAACAGAACTGTCTTTGCTGAAATTAGTGAAACTGCCAGGTGGTATGAGTAGCCTGTCTGCAGAGAGACAGAACCCAAATGCCAGTCCTCTCTCCTGCCTAGCTGCAGGCTGCCCCCGTCTCTGTGTGACACATCATTTCTCTTTTTGCTGCATAAACTGCTTTTTAATTTTTTAAATTAGAGTCACATAAAATAATATAACAGAGAAGATGCCTAAATTTTTTTAATTAATTTGTTACGATCATTCTACCACTTAGTAATTGTAAAACCCCTTTCTGAAGTTAAAGTAACGCTTGATGATTGCAACAAAGAAGACAGAGTCAGTGTGCCAGGCGAACACTCTCTGCAACGCAGTGAAGAAGGAAGTGCACGTTCTTTTCTGTTCTCCTTTTCAGTCGGTCCCACGCCCAAAGGTAAATTTTCTTTTTTTTGTATGGTACTAATTCTTCCATAACAAAGATACAATCTCTGATGGCTGAACAGCATTCCTCTGTGCGGCACTGGCTTTCATCAACCCCACCTTAGAGTTTCCCCATAACAAACAAGGCGTTACTGTCATCACAGTGCAGTCTTTGCACAGTCCCGTGCATTGTACACATTCCTAGGATAAAATGCAGTTACATTAATTAATAAGCATCATGTACATTCCCAGAGTAGAATGCTGCAGCCACGAAGGCAGCACACACACAGTTCGGTTGGCTGGCTTCCTGTGGAAGTGAGGCCCTGCATTCCCACATTCCTGCTACCTGCAGCCACACAGCCCACATGGCCGCACGGGCATCAAGTCCAGATGAGTGGACTCTGCCCGGGTCCTTTTCCTTCCACACACAGCCTTTCCCAAAATTCTCTCAGTCATGTGTTCCCCGTGACCACAGCAGCTCCTCAAATGGCTCAAGCGTCACCTATGTAGCAGTCAGGACAGACACAGATGGGGAGAGCAGTTATAGTCATGGAAATGAAGGACAGATGAAGGACAGCCAGCCAGGGATGTCCCAGGGTGTGCCCTCTCACCTGTGGTTCCAGGTGCGTTGGCCTTCCAGGACATGGCCGTGTCCTGGGAGCTGGATGGGGAGCCGGGGGGCAGCGGAGCTTGGCCACCTCGAGACCCTGTCTCTTGTGCGAGATGAGTAGGGGGAGCTCTGGGGAAGACTCAGGTGGAGTCAATACTCGATGTTTTATTTTATTGCTTCTTTTCCAGTCACTTCACTGGCTGTTTTCAGGGTCTTTCTCTGTTTCTGTTACCTTCAAAAAGCAGCTATTCCGTGTTGGCTGAACGACGCTTTGCCACACCAGGTTCTCTGCTTCCCCTGCAGTCCCACAGGAATGTTTCAGGGCTAGAACTGGAGCCCAGTGTCCCCAGTGTCCCCACACACACGCACAGGGCCAGGACTCTTGCCAGCCTCCCGCGCTTGTCTCTGTCTCCTCTGCACCCACTCCAAATGGGGTCACCGTCCATAGCAGGGCTGTCCATTAGACCTATAGTGTGGGCGACACAGGTCGTGGTAAATCTGGTGGCCAAATAGGAAAATGTAAAACAAACAGGTGAAATTTTATTTTTAGCAAGACATCTTATTTAACGCATTATACTTGAAATACTATTTCAACATGTAATCAATATTAAAAATCATTAATGAGATATCTTCCATTCTCTTTTGTACTAATTCTTCAAAATTTGGTGCAAATTTTACACTTACAGCACACCTCAGTTCAGATGGAGCTCCTCAAACTGTCTTTTGATTTTACAAAATTTACAGTTGAAAAAGTAGAGTCACATACCCAAGTTGCTACAAACATACTTAAAAGTCTTCTAATAAGGGAATTATCCACTTTTTAATTTAAATCACTTGAAATGCAGTACAATTAAAAGCCGGTTCCTCAGCCCCACTAGCACATTGCAGGTGCTACACAACCACGTGCAATGGCGACAGCAGTGTGGATCCTGGCGACTCTAGAGAGATCCAGCTGGTGCAACAGAGCAAGGGCCATGGTGGCCTGCCCAGCCCCAAGTTCCTCACCATGCATGAAGCCAGAGCCGCGGTGCACGCTCACACAGATGAGAGCTGGGCAGAGCCCAGAGCACAACCTGGTGAAGGTGCATCGTCTAAAGAAAGGAAGGAAAAGAAGGGGGTTATCAACGGGAAAGCAATCAACCAGGGAGCTAGAAGAAGAGGAGGAAGAGGGGGTGGAAGGAGGAGGAGGAAGAAGGGGAGAAGGAGGAAGGAGGAGAAGGAGGAAGAGGAGAGTAGGAGAAGGAAGACAGGAGGAGGAAGAAAAGGAGAAGGAGGAAGAGGAGAAGAAGGAAGAGAAGGAAGGAGGAAGGGGAGGAAGAAGCAGGAGGAGGAAGAAGAAGAGAAAGAGGAGAAGGAAGAGGAGGAGGAAGAGAAGGAGAGGGGGGAGGAAGAAGAAGATGATGATGTGCTCCCAGGAGTGTTGGCAGCATCTGTGCGAGTCTGCCAAGAGAGGGAACGTGGAGCCCACAGCCCCTCGGTCAAGCCGGTTCCTGGCCCATGCTCAGATCCCAATGTGCCAGCCTAAGGCCATTACACCTTGGACTAAACACTCGCTTCCCACCCCAAGCACAGTTCTGATTGCCATTTGGTTTCTCACAGGGCTGTGTCTAGGGGGAACTATGCTGACCCTTCTGGTGTTATATCTGTTCCCATGACAGTTACTCTGATGCAACGTTGGTCTGTTGGGTTTATTACGTCCTGGCCAGTGTGCTTCCTTCCTTGAGAAATGAAGTTACTGCTGTCTTCTCACAAAATGATGTTTCTGGGCCATGAGGTTGGAGTCTAAACCTGCCACTGTAGCGATAATAAAGTGTCTGCATGGCGCCTCTTAGAAGACAACCCTGACCCTCTAGTGCACTCGTCCCTACTCGCCTTCTTCCGTTTTGCTCAGTTTTTACAAAGACTCTTGGCACCCATTGTGCCCAGCATTCTACAGCATGCCACACCCCTCAAGCTTCTGGTGAGCCTGGTTTACACACGTGAGCAAGCAGAAGGCAGTGAGAGGCCGGGCGTCATAAAGCACAAACTCGCTGGTGTGAGTTCAGACAAGGAAGAGAAACTACAGAAGAGGGGGCTTCAGGAAGATAGAGGGCTTGGTCGTGGTGCAGGAGCCTGGGAGCTCGGCTGGGGAGCAGAACTTGCTGAGCACGGGAGGGAGGGAGAGATGGCGGTGAGCCATCCATCAGAGCAGAGCCGTGCCCCCGGGGCTGGTGCAAGATTCGGCTCCAGTGAGAAGCAACAACCAGTCACACGGGAAACCCTATAAATATGCACGTTTCCTACAGAATTGTCAGGTTCAAACCTCAAACCCCAAAAGTGTGTGTAGGAAGGAGAGTCTGAAAACAAATTGAGCAGTTGACTGAAGGGCTGCTGTGTCCAGCTGTCCCTGCCTGGCGGTGATAAACTCCCCATCACTGAGGTTGGCTTATGGGGGGCCTTCTAGTGCAAGCTAAAGCATGAATCCAACACGACAGGCGGTGAGGAGCCACCCCAATCTCTGATAAGGTGTGTCCAGCTGAAAGCCATGTTGAGGAACATGTTCTTTTTTAAAAGCTTACCTGAGCATTAGAAAAAGGAGGCAGGAACATTAACCCCACATTAAAGAATACAGGCGGATGATGTTTGAAATGTAGTCAAACCAGACGTCCCTCACTTGTAACCCCTCCTCAACATCAACAATTGACATCCATCCACGGACAACAGTGCCTCCGCGGGAGCTGTGGGATCCGGGTGGGAGACTGTGAAAGTCCAGTGCAGTCCAAGGCCGAGAACAGTCGTTTGGAGAAGACAGGCTCACACCCAGGCTTCTGACTCATTGACTGTGGTCCCAGATGCAGACCCCAAAAGAGCTCTGCACCCCTGAAGACTCAGATACAGCCCAGTGTGGCTTTGGTTATGGCACCAAACAGGTTATCACCAAACACCAAGAGACTCGGGAGGAATCATGCCCACCTGTGCGGTGGGTAATAGGCAAACAGACATTGGTCCCAGCCATGGACTCTGCAATGGCCAGTAAACCAGCTCCAGCCCCTCTTGATTGTGTTCCAAGAACCCCTGGAGAACACTGTCTTAGACGGTTATCCACAGATGAGAGAGCTTTTGTGAAGCCCAGGAGTCCAACAGAGAAGTTCCAGACACCACTGGAACAAAAATATCCGAGATTGGATGTACTAGAGAGGGAAAGAGAAACAGTTTGACTTTACCGAT